TGGGGCAGCGGACGCACTAGCACCTAGAGCGGCAGCCTCACTGGTCGCAATGCCTGGGTCTGGTGGCACACACAAGTAACAGTCACCCTCAACACTAATAGTCAATGCATACATGGCTCCAAGAATAACATCAAAGTCAAGTGCAAATACATCAATGTTCTTTTTAAGCAGATCAGCCCAGCGGGGCAGCTCAGAGGCCTCCGGGAACTGTGCACGCCAGGCATCGTCTAGACGAAAGAAGCAGCGGTGCGGCGTGTGGAAACGCCCACACGTCTGACCAGCGCGGTCACCGGTGCGGATGACATACGTGCAGGTGCCTCCACCCCCAGACCCCCCATGCTGAGAGTACCACTCACGAAGCTGCTGGGACGACGGGGTCTCTCCAAGACGCTGCTGCTGGCGCTGGGCACCACCCGAGCCTCCACGCTGCGCTGGTCCACCCCGACCACCACCCGAGCCGCCGCCACCACGCCCACTGCCGCCACCACCACCACCTCCACCCCGGCCTCCCCCACCACCACTGCCGCCACCACCCCCGCCGCTGCCACCCCCGCCGCTGCCACCTCCGCCGCTGCCACTGACCCCCCCAGCCCCGCCACCACCCCCACCACCGCCACCCCCACCTCCCCCACTGGTACCGCCGCCACCCTTGCCCCCCTTGCCCTTGCCGCTCTTGCGCCTCCAGCTAGGAGCAGACGCAGCCCCGACGTCCTCAGCACCGAGGAAGTCGACAGCGGCAGCAGAGGCAACCGAGGGGAGAAGGGGGGAAGGGGAACACCCGTCGAAGAAGGGCGTGCGGGGGTCGCCACGAGAGGCACCTACAGCAACTATACTAGCCTCAGCTGCAAGCAGATGCTTCTCGAGCAGGTCAATGGTGAGCTCGGTAGGGCAGAGGGCGAGAAAGTGGTCCCTGACTGCGCGAAGAGAGTCAGGGAGACGGGTGACTAGGTGGTAGAGAACGAGGTACATCGGTGGGGAGTTCTTGGCGAGAAACTCAGCAGGGAGGGCGGCTCGGAAGCGAGTGTCACTGGTGCGGAGGTGTGTAATGAGGTCAGCGACTGTGGGAAAGGCGGCGAGATCGGGGAAAAGATAGGGCAGAGAGAGACGGCCTATCGTAGCGGAGGCAGGTGAGGAGTAGCGGGCGACTACTGCATCGTACAGCTCCTTAGCAGTCTTGTGCTGGCCAAAGTGCGCGCGCTCATCTAACGGCAGGTGGCTGCGAATGGCTAGGCGAGCGTGGGCGTCACGAGTCTGCCACTGGGAGCGAGCTGTACTGTCAGCAGTGTCAGCAGGTGCGAGAGCGGTTCCGGACGCGTGGTCATACAGCGAGACGTCATCCTTAGCGGTGATCTGGAGGAAAAGGTGGAGATCGTCAAGCCAAGCATCAAACTGGAGCGGACGGCCCTCAGCATCGAAAGAGAGAACTGTGGGTGTAGCCATAGTGGCAGTAGCGGCAGTAAGAGCAGTAGTAGGAACAACTGTAGTGAGAAGAACAGCTGTAACAGCAGGAACAGGGACAGTAGGTGCTGCAAAACCCTAAACCCTAAACAGTAGGCTCAGTCAGGGCGGCGCGGCTCGGGCAGGTAGGGCAGCGCAACGGCGGGCCTATGCACGGTGCGCGGCGGCGCCTAGGGTTGCAGTTGCGTGCAGGCCGCGGCTGGGGTCCTGCTGCAGCTAAGCACGAGCTGCAGCTAAGCGCGAGCTGCAGCTAAGCGCGAGCTGCAGCAGCCGACGCGCGATCGCCACTGCGCGCGGGCTGCGACCTGCGGGCGGGCGGCGGCGTTACGAGCGCCGTCCTAGGGGCGAGCGGTCGGGCGTGGGCTGCACTCGCGCGCAGGCAGCGGCTACGAAAGCAGGGGCGGCGGCCTACGGGCGACGCGAAGCCCTACGGGCGGGCCGACGGGCGGCTAGCGACCTGCTCGTGGGCAAATCGAGCCGCGCGAGCGGCCTATGGTCGTCGCGCACGCGATTCGGGCCGCGCGCAGGCTGCTAGCGGGCAAAAAACGAGGCCGCGCGCGGGCAAAAAGGGGGCCGCGCGCGGTCGTCTAGCGGGCTACGCGACCAGGAAACGAGGCGCGCGAGGGCGCACGAAAGGAAGAAGGCGCTCGAGGGCGCTAGCGGAAGGGCGGGCCCTTAGTACAAGGTGGTCCTAGGTTCCTAACCTAGGCTTCTGATGCCATGTTAGAATGAGAAGAGTATGTGTGATTAGGTGGAGGTTGGGGTACAAGACTAGAGTGTCGAGTGAGTTTCTGTACCCCTTAAGGCTAGCCCCAATATAGCCTAGATACTAACATGCATATGTTTTGACAGTTCTCGTGTTTTTTTAGCATGACCATGGTGAACCACAAGGGAAAAATGATGGTTACAGGCTGGGCAAAGCATTTTATCAGTGTAAATCACCCTGATGCATTGATTATCAAAGTGATTTTTGGTAGTCACACTGATGCCTCAGGGTAAATTTTTTATGGAGCATGGATTTTCCTGATGTGCCAGGGTTTACGTTTAAGGCACACTGATGCCCCAGAGGGTTACTGTTCTTCTTAGCCAGTTTTACCCTGAAGCGAGTACCAGAGAACCTTCCCCCCCCCCCACACCCCCCTCTTTTCCCTTAACCCGGGATTCCCGTTGGCCCAACTGTCAAAACCAGAATTTGCGCCACGACAAGTCTTGGCACGAAGCGGGCCGTCATTGGCCAGAATTACAGTTTCGTTCGACACAACGTCAAGGACTCAGCTCGGTCTCGTTGTCTGACATGCCAACACGACCGAATTTGCTGGAAACCTGGCTTAGTGCAGCAGACGGTCGGCGCCTGCTGTGCCCTTGGAAAGGAGTGGGAAAAAGAAGGTGCCTGAGCCACAAGACGATAGTGACCATGAGGAACACCCTTGTGCCTTGTCTAATGATGACTAACAAGTTTATTGTGTGCTTTCACTGTAACAACAATTGAGCAGGGTTTCAAAAAATCTTACACTGATGCCTCAGGGTAAAATTTTCAAACCTGCCCTGTACCCTGATGTAAAAGAGTTTTGGGAAGGGGTCGCACTGATAATCAGGAATATGCACAGGTGCAACACTGATCATAAGGGTTGTTAAAAACCAAAAATTAGCCCTGGAGGCAACACGAGATAACCAGGAATGTGGGCTGAGCCCGCGTATGACTATATGCAGCGCAACGCTGCCACAAAGAAAACAAAATATCTTTACAGAAGGAAAATGACAGTTGTTACGCCATGGTAACCTGCTCACAGGCAAATACCAGATGCAAATTTGCAGCAGAAATCCTTCGTGGTGGGGTGCAGATGTCGAACGTACGATCTTCGTACCAGGTTGAATGCACGGAGATCCGTGAGTTGCCTACTCTTGACGGATCCCGAAGCGCACTCTCATGGCTCGCCGTATTTTCCCAAAACCTGAAGAACACATGTGTCGTGGTTGGTAGCGTAAGCGCCCGCCCAGTGCCCCTGCCACCTTACGTCTCTTGCCACATCGGCAAGCAAGGACTTATGTTCGCCCCTTTCCCCTTCGATCTCATACGTTCATTTTTAGCATGACCGCCACCTCAGCGCCCCGAGCCGCATTGCGCGAAGCAGCAAATCTGTTCTTTTGCAGCTGAGCAGCCAGTTATTTTCGGCCCGTCAAACGACATTTCTGTGCTGCCCGCCCCCCAAATACCCCACCAACCAGCATGTCTTCCATTTCCAGCCTCAACAACCTCGCCTCGATCGCACTTGCAATCCGTGGGTCTAAATTTTCTGTGTTTACAGTTCATATAGCGGTGTTCAAAGCGGTGAATAGCGGTTCGAAATAAGTGAAACAAATATAACGTTTTCGAACGCACAGAAGCGTACTGAACCGCAACATAAGAACAGCAATGTTCCAGCCCAGACCCGCCCTAACGCACCGCCACTGCACCTCCGGGAATCCACTGAAGGGGCAGCGAAGTGTGTGGGAAAGAATGCACACGTTGCCATACAACCCCGTATCGCATCGAAAAGAACAATTGTCCGCTGTCCGTACGAGACGACACTAGAACAGCAGACCGCCAGAAATACAGATAACAAGACCAGCAAGCTATGTGCGCCTCGTCGTCACTCACCCGATCCACACAATCATGTCTGAATCGACATCTTGACCATCTCTCTGATAGTACTATACATTCAGCTATCGTCGTTGTTTCATCCTGCGCCTACTATTGCTCCTCCTACTCTCATTCGCTTTCCTCGCCTTTCACTACTTCTGCTCCTTGTTCTGCCCTTCCGAATTTGCGTGCTTGCCGTTTTCCTCATCGACGTGCTACAACAAAATCCCCTCGCAGTGAGCAGCATTCGCCCCCGGTGAACCGCTAGATCCGACGATTATAACGTGGATGAGGCCTCACTGGTGAATTCAGGGCATCGGCGCCTTTCGCTTGCATCACTAGTAGCAGGTCGTCCTCAGCCGCTGTGCCAGCTGCGGCGGCGTCCAGATTCAGTGAATATCATTCATCAGGGTGAACAATCGTCTCGCGTCATAGCCTAAAAGAGCCCTCTGCCGCCGTTGCGGAAGGACCTATCTTTCCGCACAACATGAGCTACATGTTTCTTCTCGCCGATTTTACTCCTACAGAGTGTTGTAACAAACGCCTTACCTCCCGATATCTCCTCGTCCTATCCGTCCTACTCCTATCCGCCGCGATTCCCGCCACGGTTTCCGCCGCGAGGGTTCTCTCCGCAACTGCAGCTACCCAGGGTGGGCCACGGCCCACGACAAGTAGTTATGGAACATCCGAATTTCAGCCAACCGGATTCTTGCGCGTGTATCCAACTACCGGAAGCTTCCGCGATTCGCACTTCTCACGGAACGCGATTGGCAACGACACGCTGACGTCATCTACGGTTAGTCGCGCCGCAGAGTTGACGCGCCGGCGGCAGCGGTGGGGGGAACGGCAGCACCGGACTCCGTTGATGGGAAACGGAGCAGGACATATTACGAGGCCTAATATAAACTCTGGAAGTCCCGGAATGAGCTACCACGGAGGGCCTGTAATGAGCTCGCCTATTAACGTGTACGTCGTGTTCTACGGATCGTGGAGTCGGGAGGACCGCCGAGCTGTTAACACATTCGTGCAATCGATTTCGGACAGCTCGGGTAACAGTGTCGCGACCGTGCGAAGGTGGTGGCGAACCACCAGCTTGTACACTGCCAAAGGCCCCGCCGCAGTAACGTCGCAAGTGCAGCTTGCGAAATCCGCAGTGGACCGATATTCGCAGGGAAAGATGATACGCGACGACATGAACGGCGTGTGGCAAGGTACGCAGGACAGTTTTCGGTATTGATGGAAGTGCATGAACCAAAGCTTTGGTAATTTTGGTTATACGGGATTTCGTATGATATAATGCACTTCCATCAATATCTCAATTCTGAGCTTTAATGCGACGGCATCAAACGTTGACCATATACCGTATATCGGTTCGTCCTTCTCCTGCTCTGTTCCTCGCAGTTATTCGCAAGCAGATTGATTCGGGTAACTTCCCCATCGATGCTTCTGCGATTTACGCCGTCCTAACGAGTCCGGACGTGCGATTGGGCGACAGTTCCCAAGGCTTCTGCGGGCCGCAGGGGTACTGCGGGTGGCACTCGACCGCGTCGAACGGGCGGAGCGAGCTGAAAGTGATTCACGTGGGGAACGGGGGACAGCAATGTCCTCAATATTGCGTGCCTTCCTACAACACACGGTAAGAGGAATAAATCTGTGTAGGGGTTGGGTTTTGCAGCTCACAGCAGGGAATTTGTGTCGTGTCGAGGCTTACGAAGAAAGGGCACTGATTCTCCACGTAGTAGGTCAGCCCGACCACCACCTTCCCTTCCCACCCAGTCCCCACCCCCTCCCCCCGTCGCCACCACCCCCTCCATCCCCCCCTCCCCCCACCCCTCCTTCTCGCATTCCCACCCCTCTCTCCCCCTCCCTATTCCCCCTCCTCCTCTCCCCCCTCATCCCCCCACCTCCCCCAAACCACGTTATGGTGACACGGTGTCACATGCGTTAGATGGTTTGTTCATGTCTGGTGGTTACCACCAGCTGGATGCTTTTATAATGTCATCATTTCCAATTGCCACTGTGGTTGTGATTGCAACTGTGATTGTGTTTGTGATTGTGAGTACTCCGTTCCTCCTCTTTTCCGTTCTTTCTTCCCATTCAACCCAGCACATATCTGAACAGCCATCCAGGTGTGGATGGAGTGTAAAAACTTTAGGCCGTGAGATGGCTGAGACGGCCACCAACCCCCTTGTAGCTTCAAATGTTCCCTATGCATATCTGGCTTCTTCTATTATCTGTCCCGGCTACCAACCCCCTTGTAGCTTCAAATGATCCCTATGCATATCTGGTTTCTTCTATTATCTGTCCCTCCTTCCAATCTTACTGCAGCACATCTCCGAACAGTCATCCGGGTGTGGATGGGCTGATAAACACTCTAGCGCATGAGATGGCTGAGACGGCCACCAACCCGCTTATAGACAATGGCTGGTTCGATATAAGCACCTTGGAGGAGATTGCGGACAAGTGCGCGCGGCTGTACGGACAGAAGGGCAAGGATGTGGTTCTCTCTCAACAGGGATACGCTTATAATGTGCAGGGAAAAGCAGGGTCACACTATCTGTTACAGCAGGTGAGCTACTGGCATTCTGTTTCTGTCCAGAGGTTGTCAGCGAGACAGGGGATATGACTCATATCATATGAGGGTGAGGCGTGCAGGAAAGGAGGTGGCTTGGATTCATAGGGTGGCTTGGGGGTCTAGGGAGGTGACTTAGAAATACGATGTAACTGGTGGGTGGTGGACATAGTAGGGAGGTGGGTGTTGGAGTTATGGGGCTGGGTGGGTAGTGGAAATAGGGAGGAAGGGTTTGGGGATGAGGGTAGCATGTCCCTGTTCCAACGACAACGTAGTGAGCTCATGTGATACGGTAAGGTATACATGTGCCTTGTATGCATGCCACATCCTCCCTGCAGACAATTCCTCTAAATGCCCCCAGTTTAACTCTGCCAGTGTATCTAGTAGCCCCCAGCTTCAACTCCGCCCCCACTGCCCCGCCCCTCCTTCCCATGTGTTCACATGCAGCTCTGGAGCCGAGCTTCTCCCCAAAAGTGTGTCGTGCTGGATCCAGCCTGACCAACCATGCCACCTCATGTAACAGTTTGCACTGTGCCTACCGTATGGCAAGGAGCGATAGCGTGAGCTCCATTGGGTCAGTTTGGTTATGGTGGATGTGTAACAAATGCATAACAAATGAAGAGCATTGCCCGTGTTTCCGCACAATTATGGTTCTGTCAATGCCTCTCCCACAGGCCTCTGGATAGGATTTGGGGTACTCTTCCTCGTAAGGCCAACACCCAGCTGTTACTCTTTCAGTAAGGGTGCTTCACAGGAACTGCTCTTAAAAATCAGGGTGCAAACAAATTAAAGAAACTGTCGAATAGTTTTGCTGAGCCTACTATGTAGGGTGTTAGTGTTGCAGTTTGTTGAGTCATCGTTGTTATGTGGAGGACCCAAGTTCGATACCTGTCGGGGTCATCCGCCGTAGGAAATGTGTTTTACGCGACCAATCCTGGTATCCTCTCTTAGATCGAACTCGATTTCATCAGTGCTACTACACCACATAGCTCTGAAATATCAGTGTCATACAATCGATCACTTTTTTTGGTAAGGGTCGAAAACAAAACCAGTCTTGTAAAAAAGGGTGCATCGTAAAACCCGCCCTTATAGTAAGGGTCATAAGGGTGAATCACCCTGATATCGAGAGGCCAGCTCTCCCACGTGGAATTTATTGTGGTCTGAGTTCAATACTGGATGGGACATAATACCCGGTATTAATTGTTTACACGCGTCGAACCCTTTCAACAGGGCAAACTTGTAAAGATGAGCCACTGAATCAGAACCAAGGAAGTACGCTACACCAGCAGCAGGCAACCACCCAACTTACAATACATACACAACTATTCCAAGGAGAGCAGAGGAGCATCTACAGTACAAAATGAAATGAATTCGAGATATGCAACCATTCAAAACCACCCAGGGTGACAGCAGAGCAGTGTAAATGCAAGGCCCTTGAGAACTCCCAACCCAAACCCGAATTGGAGCCCTGTATGTAGAATAAAGCCTTCGTCACCCTCAGTGCGAAACCCTAGGCGATCTTCCCAAGCAGCCCCGAGACCCGCGCCCGCACTGGAATCCCAAACCGGAAGTACATATCCGGGCAGCCCAGCATGTTCCAATCCGTAAGCATGTAGTCTTTCTTGCTGAAGTAGCTCCGGCGGCCCGTGAAAACCGACGGCTCGAGGATATGCGTGGTTTTCACCAGGACATCCACGCAAATCTCAGCCGGAACCGCCGTGCCGTCGGTCGATCCAGATGTGTCGGTCGACCCAGATGTGTCAGTCGACCCAGATGTGTCCGTTGATCCGGATGTGTCGTTGGGTGCAATATAGTCAGGGTTAGGAGTGCACTTCTGAACGTATTCCTGGTTGAGCGTCCAGGTGGTGCCTCGGTTGAGGTAGTAAAGGTGACCGTTGGAAAACACCATGAAGAATGTCGGCGGATCCGTGACTGTCAGCGCGTTATCGGCCATCTCGAGGGTCGCCTGAAAGCTGATTACGTAATCCGCAGGTTTCTTGGAGCGCAGAGGATTTCTGCAGGGAATGAGTAAGGCGGGAGAAAAGAGGACGGTTGTGAGGGTATGCTATCTCTCGTCCGACTGAAAACCCGAAACCACCTCGGAGTGCGTGGGATTTCTGCAGGGAATGAGTAAGGTGGGAGAAAAGAGGACGGCTGTGAGGGTATGCGCTTGTCCCCATACTCTGAGACCGTCTTGGCATGCGTGGGCACCTGCAGCGGAAGGGAGAAGAGAGGAGAGAAGAGAAGGCATGCACACAGGAGCGGTAGGGCACAGGAGCGATACAAAGGTCACAGGAGCGGTACAGAGGTCACAAGAAGATGGAGAGCGCTGGAGTGTTATAATCTCGCAGGAGGTGGCAGGCGCAGGGGACTTGACATGAAGTTAGACGGAGTCACAGCGACCAAGAAGCATATGCACGAAGAAAACTCTCTTGATGATTGACTACAGAAGAACTGATTGCAGAACGATTACATGAAGACACAATAAACCAGAGTCACACGCACGAAGATACTCACGAGATGTTCAACGAGAGAACAACTGTTTCTGAGGCGCTTCAAAGCAAGGTATAACGATACGTCAAGTCACGGCAAGCCAGAGTCACACGCACGAAGACGACTCACGAGATGTTCAACGAGAGAACAAGACTGGTCACATTGGTGCCCGATGTAGTGAGCTCGTACCGACCTGCCAAAGAGAGGGGATGAGGTGAGCAGGTCAGGGGAGCAGAGAGAGGAAGGCCTTATGAATGGAAGGGGAACAGACGGGAAGAGGGGAGTAGGAGAGAACAAGACTGGTCACATTGGTGCCTGTTGTAGTGAGCGCGTACCGACCTGCCATAGCGAGGAAAGGTGGGAGGCAAGGGAGGAGGCGAGACAAGTCAAGGGAGCAGAGAGAGGAAGACCGTATGAATGGGAGGACAACACGGGAGGGGAGGAAAAGAAAAGAGGAGGGGGGTAGGAAAGAGCTCTAGTCATATTGGTGCCACTTGTGTTAAGGGTGTACCAGCCTGCTACAGTGAGTAAAAGGGGCAAGGTGCGGAAGGCAAGGGGCCGGGTGCGGAAGGCAAGGGGCCGGGTGCGGAAGGAGGTGCGCACCACCGCATACACTTACGTGTCGGCGAAAAGTCAGGCGCGGGAAAGAGCGGACGGGAAGCGCGAGGGCGATATGCGCACACGGGTTTGCGTGCAAAGAGCCCACCCACTTGCACGCTGTATCGAGTCAGCTCTTACCGACAAGGTCTTGCAGAATTTTAAGCTCGCGGCGGGGAGTCACGGCACGGGGCTCGGCGGGTAACGAGGAGAAAATGGCGACCACTGCGGAGGAGATACGCGGGGAAAAGGGAAAGCGAGAGAATTGAAAAAAATATTACAGACTAACAAACAATGCAGAAAGAGTGGCATGCCGCCGAATAGATTAAAATTTGTACCCCGGTCGGGGGGAAGTGCGGGAAGGAGTAGTGTCGACTGCGCAGAGCGACTTGCGCAAAGACAGGAAGACGGAGAGAGAAAGTTCCTAGAGCCTACAACCATGCCACTCGAAACCCATCACTGACACGGCTCAGTAGGAACGAGTTACTGAGAAAAGGACAGGTAATCCACTGGACAGATAGGGGAGTCAGCGGGCGGGCGTTTTGAGACGTCTCAAAACATCTCTTTTATCACGAGTTACTGAGAAAAGGACAGGTAATCCACTGGACAGATAGGGGAGTCAGCGGGCGGGCGTTTTGAGACGTCTCAAAACATCTCTTTTATCACGAGTTACTGAGAAAAGGACAGGTAATCCACTGGACAGATAGGGGAGTCAGCGGGTGGGCGGCAATCACTGATTTGACCAAGGGATTCTCGAGGAAGATGCGCCGCAAAAAAAAAAAAAAAGTGATTGGTAAGTGAATTTGATCAAACGTGTCTCGACCGTCGCTGCTTCCTCCCCGTCACTACCGAGTCCGTCACTCGGAGAGAGTTTTCGAAGTAAGCTTCGGTGATGGTGGGATGCGACGCGACTGAAAGTGTCGACTCAAAAGCCTCCTCTGAAAGGATACGACGGCGAAGGTGGGCTGAAAGCTACCCGCTTGTGATTCAACGACTGGCCACCGTAGGGGTATCATAACGGGACAACACCACAACGAGCAAGCAACGCGAGCCTTCTTAGGAAGCAACGGCAGGTAGCATCGCATCACATCACATCGCAACACAACTTCCGGATGTCTATCGGCTTATGTTACTCTAACGGCTTCTCGAATAACCGCCCGCTACTCAATAAGGCGCACTATGGCGGGACCTTGTGATGCGAGTTGACAGTAGGAACCACATGTTTCCGCATCCGTGTTCAAATCTGTCCTCACTGAAGCAGCAGCTTTGATTCGAGCTACCGCTAGCATACGCGCAACCGTGTCAACTCACATAGTAGCAGCTGGACGGCTATCGTTAGCCGAATAGGAGCCATGGATCCCTGGAAGGATAAGAGGATGGGCGCAGCGGCTAGCCTGGGTTCAATCCGGCGGTGAAAGGTTGAGAGTCTGAAGTAAGGATGGAAACGCCTTAGTTGCTGGACGGTGGCCAATAGGTAACTAGGTTCTAGAACGCCTGAGCTATCGCATGTTTAGAATAACACCTAGTATTGTGGCACTTGGGTAGAGGGGGAGAGTCCCCACACAGAACACAACGCGACTTCTGGTTGGATCTGTCACAACGGGCCAAATGCATCTCAGCTTGAACTGTATTCAACCGTTTTTTATGCCCATCAGATAGCTATTAACCGTAATCAACCAGAATAAAACGCTACCGCTCAGTGGAACTTACAATTCATTTCGCCAAAGCAGTGGAAGCGGAAGGGAGGGGAGGGGGGGGTGGGGGAGGACAACCGAACCTGGTGGTGTACTGATGGTCCGTGGTGCTGTATGTTGCGACACCAACAACTGTCTTTCACGTTTGATTTTGCGTGGACGTCTAGATTCTGGGTGTGCTCTAAATATGAGGTCGATGATTTCAAGACCCTTTCAGCATGAATCGGGGAACCAATATGTTTATTGAGAAACATTTGTAGTAACATGGCTAGATCGTTGCTGAAGCTTAGCTTTGGGTCCAGAAATAAACAACAACCAGCAATATTTCGCGTACTTTCAGAAACCGTACGCTGCGTGAGTTTCGCAAGGAAATCGGCTTTCACCCTGACAAAGCCATGTACGTGTATCCAGAACTCCGAAACGCGCGAATGTTCCTTCAGAGCAACTGCAGCACCTTCAACGAAGCGCTGATGCAGTTATCACTTGCAGATTCCTCTGGTCCATTCGCCAGGTGTCTTTTCAGGTGATCAGTGCTCACATCAGTTAGACAATGTACCGCGAAGAACATCAAATGGCGAAAGTACATGCGAGCTCGAGGCATTCCTAGATGAAATTGACGACAGCCTAATGCGAAGAGTTTCTCTGTAAATGAAGATGCACCACGAAAACTTACACTGAGGATCAGGGTAACCCACGTCTCGCTGGTGTAGCATGTCGTTCGCACGTGTAACAATTAGCGAAACATACACTTCCTCTTTTCAAAGCTGGTAATATGATCAACCTATCGGACAGCCTTTTGCAAAGGCAATGCAACAGCAGTTAAGTGCATTCTTTCACCTAATCTGCAGGCAACTAGGCTTGCCTTGGAATCTCCATACAATGTGGTTTACCTGTTAGAAAGCCAGCATCTTTCACAGCCCCTCATGCCTACCCACGCTGCCCATTCCACCCTCTTTGCGCCTTCACTCGCTATTCTGCCTTCTTCTCACCTGCAACACCCCCCTCCTCCCCCGGTGCTTCCCAGCCCTTCCCTGCCACCAGATCCCGCCTCTGCTGATGCTCAGCGACCTTATAATCCACCACTTCTAGAAACAACTGCGCATCCAACACGCTCTCCTTGCTCCCATACACCGCCCCCCTCACACTCGCCATAAACTTGGCAATCTCGCGCCCCGAAAACCCCTCCATCTTCCTCGCAGCATCCCTTAACACATCCTCCGAAATCCCCTTCACCTCAATCTTCTCCTGTTTTCGGAACGCTGCGGCAATCCCGCCGCCGCCCCGCTTCCACCACTTCCTGCCGTCCTGCGAGTTTGTCACGTAGCGGTGGAGGTACAGCTGGAGCAGGCGGAACCGCTCCTCCTCCCTCGGGAGAGGGAACTCCATCATTTCGTCGATTCGGTCGGTGACTGCGCTATCCAGATCCTCGGGTCTGTTTGTAGCGAGTACAAGCACGATGTCGCGCGATTGGTCACCCGTGCGGAAGAGCATGGCGTTGAGGGCGGAGCGCTGCGCCTCACTCATTGTGATCTTGTTGCGCCTGGTGGGACAATGCAAGCACAGACAGACAGGCAAAGAGAGAAAGAGAGGAAGAGAGACACACACACACCAACATACACAGCAGCAAACACAGGGACAGAGCAAAACAATGGTGTCAACGGGGTTGGTTTTCGAGGGCGGAGCATTGTGTCTCGCCCATGGTGATTTTGTTGCGCCTGGTAAGGGGCCACGGGTGGAAACAGGTGGTGGATCATGTATGGTGGGTGGTGAGTTATGGGTCAGGGATGGCTGAGATATGGCGATGGGCTGTTGAATGATGCGCAATGGGCCATGCCATGCCATGTAAAGCCAAAAGATGCTACCCGCTACTCACTCGCACAGAAAGGCGTCCGCCTCGTCAATGAACAGTAGCAGCCCGCGCTTGGTGTGCGCCGCCCAGTCAAACATCTGGTGGATCTTCGTCACGGCTTGCGGCCCTAGAGGGGCCACGTCTCCTCCTGTCATTAACGCATAGTCGAGTCCCTGAAAGACAAGAGGGTGAGATGGGGAAGGAGGATCAGAGAGCACACAGAGAGCACACAGAGAGCACACAGAGAGCAATGCACACTGATCTAACATATGGTGGAGGTCACGGCTTGCGGCCCCAAGGGAGCAACGTCTCCTCCTGTCATTAGCGCATAGTCCAGCCCCTGCGTGACAACAGGGTAAAGAAAGAGGAGTGAGGTAGGCAACAGGGTGTTAATCCCTTGGTACTGCACCAGTCAAGTCAAACATCTGGTGGATCTTGGTCACTGCCTGCGGCCCCAAGGGAGCCACGTCTCCTCCTGTCATTAACGCATAGTCCAGGCCCTGAGTGACAACAGGGTAAGACGGGGAAGGAGGAGCAGAGAGCAGTGCACGGGTCAAACAGACTGGTGGACCTTTGTCACTGCCTGCGGGCCCAGAGGTGCCACATCTCCTGTCATCAGCTCCAACCCCTAAGAGGGAGCAGTTAGAGGGCGAGAAGAGGAAGGAGGAGCAGAGAGCAGTGCACGGGTCAAACAGACTGGTGGACCTTGGTCACTGCCTGCGGGCCCAGAGGCACCACGTCTCCTCCTGTCTCAGCACGTAGTCCAGTCCAGGCCCTGGAAGAGAAGGAAGAGGTAGGAGTGGGAAGCAGCATTGGTTGCTTGCTTGCAGGGGTATGATAGCTTCCAGCCAAACACCTGGTGGATCTTCGTCACAGCTGCACATAAACTCAACCATTGAACCCTAACCCTGCACCCAAACCCAAACCCCCGCTTTTCAACACGCCACCCACCAATTGCCGGGCAAGCTCTTTAGCCGCCATGGTCTTGCCGGTCCCCGGCGGCCCAAAGAACAGCATGTTCCTGAACAGGGCAACATGGCGCTTGGTGTTAGCTGTGGCAGCAGCGAGCTGGCGAACCTGAGTCTATGATTCACCAAACTTTGCTCTGATCCTGCAAACCCAAACCCTTAAGTCCAACCATCATCGTTTCAGCAGCCTGGGCAGGGCACCCACCGATTGCCGGGCAAGCTCTTTAGCCGCCATGGTCTTGCCGGTCCCCGGCGGCCCAAAGAACAGCATGTTCCTGAACAGCGCTCTGTGGCGCTTGGTGTTGGTAGTGGTGGCAGCCAAGTTCCCAAAACCCTCAACCTAAATCCCCGGACCCTATCTCTGACCCCCTGTGACCACCCACCGATTGCCAGGCAAGCTCTTTAGCTGCCATGCTCTTGCCAGTCCCCGGCAGCCCAAACAAGAATGTGTTTCTCTCTCAAGGGGGCGCCGTGGTGGTGTTGGTAGTGGCCGTGGCCGCAGCGAGCTGGCTAAAACCAACCTTTGAACCCTTGACCCCAACCCAAGACCTGAAACCCTAACCCTGCACCCTGAACCCTAACCCTGCACCCTGAACCCTAACGCCAACCGCCCTTCCCACAACTCACAGATTGCCTTGCAAGCTCTTTAGCTGCCATGGTCTTGCCAGTCCCAGGGGGCCCGAAAAACAGCATGTTCCTGAACGGCGCTCCATGCTTCTTGGTGTTGGCCGTGGCAGCAGCGAGCTGGCGAATGCGGTGGTGCAGCGACGGGTGCAGAATCACATCGCCGAACCCACGGCCTGATTTCATTAGCGCTGATGCTGCTGCTCCCCCCGCCCCTGCTGCTGCCGCTTCGGCTGTGGCTGCTCCTGTGGTGGGGACGAACACGAGGGCAAGGCGAGGAGAGAGGGAGATGTGCTGGGCTGAGAGGGCGACGGGTGCAAAATCACATCGTGGAACCCGCAGCCTGATTTCATCAGGGCTGAAGCCGCTGCTCCCCCGCCCCTGCTGCTGCCGCTTCGGCTGTTACTGCCCCTGTGGGTAGGGGAGAAGAGATGAGGGGGGAATAGTAGAAGGAGGAGGAGGAGGAGGAGGAGGAGGAGAAGGAGGAGGAGGAGGAGGAGAAGAAGAAGAAGGAGAAGAAGAAGAAGAAGAAGAAGAAGGAGAAGAAGAAGAAGAAGAAGAAGAAGGAGAAGAAGAAGAAGAAGAAGAAGAAGGAGAAGAAGAAGAAGAAGAAGAAGAAGAAGAAGAAGAAGAAGAAGAAGAAGAAGAAGAAGAAGAAGAAGAAGAAGAAGAAGAAGAAGAAGGAGGAGGGGCAGAGGAGGTGAGAGCAGTGAGCAGGAGGAGGGAGAACGAGGCACGCCGTGAAGCTTGGTGTTTGCGATGGTGGCAGCAGAAGGGGAAGATCCAGCAGAAGCAGTTTTGAGAATTCTGAAAAGGCATGTAGGAGGAGAGGTATGCCTCAGGGGGGAGAAGGGCATGTAGGAGGAGAGGTATGCCTCAGGGGGGAGAAGGGCGCTGTTAGCATGAAGGAGAGGCACCTGAGCCTCTGGGGGACTGGGGCCTGTGGGGGACTGGGGCCTCTGGGGGACTGGGGCCCCTGGGGGACTGCTAGCATGGAGTAGAAGGGTATGCCTCGCGGGGACTGGTAAACGAACCCCTTCACCTTTTCATGTTAACTTACCCACAGCAGCACAACTCTTGAGAATTCTCAAAAGTGATTTCCTTTTGAGAATTCTCAAAAGTGATTTTCTTTTGAGAATTCTCAAAAGTGATTTCCTTACTTTTGAGAATTCTCAAAAGTGATTTCCTCGCGGGGACTGGTAAACGAACCCCTTCACCTTTTCATGTTAACTTACCCACAGCAGCACAACTCACCGGCAGCAGCAGTTCCGGGAGTTGCAGCGGGGACGCGGGAGAAGGGCGCAGATAGAGCAGAGGAGAGGCGCCTGAGGCTCCTCGACCAGGGGTAGGGGCCTCTGGAAGATTCCCTCACTAGAGAAGGCTGCCCCAACAGGCGATCGATGTAATGCCACACCACCCTCGCACCCTCTCTGTGGGATAACGGGGGAGCAGGGCAGGGGAAGTGGAAAGGAAACGAGGGCAGCGAGAATTAAAGGGCTTGCGTGAACCCTAGCGGCTACCGCACGCGTAAATCAGAGGGCTGTCTGGAAGGCAGTCTCTTCCCCACATCATAGCAGCATAGTGGTACCTTGTTTAGTTTTGAGGCGCCTCAAAACTAGACAGCACGCGCAGGGCTGTCTGGAAGGCAGTCTCTTCCCCGCATCATCATAGCAGCGTAGAGGTACCTCACCTGGTGGTGGTAACACAGTTAACTTGTAACATCCGATCCTAACCAGTAACCAGGTTATTTTGTAATGGGGTGCAGCAAAATTCTGAGGGCCCATGTATTAACCATGTAGATGAGCTGTGGTTAAAAAGCAGCGCATCTGAGGCCAGCTCACCTGGTGGTGTGTATGCTCACCTGGTGGTGTGTATGCTCACCTGGTGGTGTGTATGCTCACCTGGTGGTGTGTATGCTCACCTGGTGGTGTGTATGCTCACCTGGTGGTGTGTATGCTCACCTGGTGGTGTGTATGCTCACCTGGTGGTGTGTATGCTCACCTGGTGGTGTGTATGCTCACCTGGTGGTGTGTATGCTCACCTGGTGGTGTGTATGCTCACCTGGTGGTGTGTATGCTCACCTGGTGGTGTGTATGCTCACCTGGTGGTGTGTATGCTCACCTGGTGGTGTGTATGCTCACCTGGTGGTGTGTATGCTCACCTGGTGGTGTGTATGCTCACCTGGTGGTGTGTATGCCCACCTGGTGGTGTGTATGCTCACCTGGTGGTGTGTATGCTCACCTGGTGGTGTGTATGCTCACCTGGTGGTGTGTATGCCCACCTGGTGGTGTGTATGCTCACCTGGTGGTGTGTATGCTCACCTGGTGGTGTGTATGCTCACCTGGTGGTGTGTATGCTCACCTGGTGGTGTGTATGCTCACCTGGTGGTGTGTATGCTCACCTGGTGGTGTGTATGCTCACCTGGTGGTGTGTATGCTCACCTGGTGGTGTGTATGCTCACCTGGTGGTGTGTCTTCTCACCTGGTGGTGTGTATGCTCACCTGGTGGTGTGTATGCCCGCAGCAGAGCAGTGGCCCCTGCCACTGACACCACCATCTTGTCTCACACACACTCATGGCACCTGGTTACCCTATGGCAACAATGCTTATACCCACTACCCATAACACCACCAGAACAGCACAACAGGGTGGTGGCAGCATCTCATCTCACCTGGTGGTGTAGATGCCAGCAGCCAGCGCAGTCACTCCCGCAACTGTCACCACCATTTTGTTTTGATCAGTCAGCAGCGCTCTGATACCACCTGGGGTATGGATTGGGAAGGGTTGGCATGGCATGGGATAGGATGGGATAGGATGGGATAGGATGGGATAGGATGGGATAGGATGGGATAGGATGGGATAGGATGGGATAGGATGCGATAGGATGGCAGACCACCCCCCACCCCCAATCTAGTTATCCCCATACATACACACGTGGCTTTACTCACCTCCAATGTGCCCAAACGTCGTGTTAATCGCACTAATCCACTTTTCAGTCTCTGCTTTTCTCTTCTCCAGCAGCAGCCGTTTGTTCACATCGTCACTGAGCCGCGCCTCGTGCGCCCTCGCCTCTGTACCTCTCAAGCACAAATTTCGCAGCAAACTCACCTCCAATGTGGAAAAAAGGTAGTATTGATCGCGCTGATCCATTTCTCCGTCTCTGCTTTGCTCTTCTCCAGCAGAAGCCGCCTGTTCATGTCCTCACTGAGCCGCGCCTCATGCGCCCGTGCCTCTGTCTCCGCCAGAGCCTTCTGCTTCTTAAGCTCTCACACATTCTGCCAGACCCCGGAATACTCACCTCCAATGTGCCCGGTGTTGATGGCGCTGATCCACTTTTCAGTCTCTGATTTGCTCTTCTCCAGCAGCAGTCGCCTGTTCACGTCCTCACTGAGCCGTGCCTCGTGCGCCCGCGCCTCTGCCTCCCATGCTCTGACCTCCAACTCACCATCCCCCTCTACAATCGGCCTCAATATAACGGGACTCACCCCCAATATGCCCGAAGGTTGTGTTAATGGCGCTAATCCATTTCTCAGTCTCTGCTTTGCTCTTCTCCAGCAGCAGTCGTCTGTTCACGTCCTCACTGAGCCGCGCCTCGTGCGCCCGCGCCTCTGCCTCCGCCAGGGCCTTCTGCTTCAGCGTCTCCCTCTCGATCGCTGCCATTTCCAACTCCGTCTGCCGCTTCTGCTGCTGAATCTGCGATGTTTGAATACGGAAGAGCGGGGTTGGGGGCGGTTGGGGGAGGGGGGGAAGGGGGGGGGGGAGGGAGAACCTAATGCTTCAGCGTCTCCCTCTCGATCGCTGCCATCTCCAACTCCGTTTGCCTCTTCTGCTGCTGAACCTGCGATGTTTGATTTCAGCAGGGGAGAGGGGGGTTGGTTGGGGGCGGTTGGGGGAGGGGAGGGAGGGAGAGGCTTCTGCTTCTGCATCTCCCTCTCGCGCGCTTCCAGCTCCAACTCTGTAGTCGCTTCTGCTGCTAAATCTGTACCGTTTGTGTGAGGAGGCCGGGGAAGGTACAGATTCCCCCCCTTGTCCATCTCAAACTACGTTCCCCCAGGGTCAAACGTTTCGAGCCCTCTGGGCCCTCCTCCCTCTTCCCCCACCTCGTTTTGTCACAGGTCTAATATGCCCCAGCCTCACCTCTTCCCTTACAGCCCTTATGATATGCTCGAGAATCGAACCCCTTGTTGCTCATCTCAGCCGTTCGTTCATCTTACCTCTTCCTCTGTGGCCCGTCGGATCTGCTCCTGCCTCACGCTCGACTCCTCCTGCATCTTCACCAGCTCTGCGTTCCTCGCCCTCTGCGCCTCGTGCTCCGCCTGTTAAGGGGTAGAGCAGCAATGCGTAAGGGGGACAGAGAGGGGTATATTGAATCAAGGGGAGACACCCCCCTCCTGCATCTTCACCAGCTCTGCGTTCCTCGCCCTCTGCGCCTCGTGCTCCGCCTGTTAAGGGGTAGAGCAGCAACGCGCAAGGGGGACAGAGAGGGGTATATTGTATCAAGGGGAGACACCCCCCTCCTGCATCTTCACCAGCTCTGCGTTCCTCGCCCTCTGCGCCTCGTGCTCCGCCTGTTAAGGGGTAGAGCAGCAACGCGCAAGGGGGACAGAGAGGGGTATATTGAATCAAGGGGAGACACCCCCCTCCTGCATCTTCACCAGCTCTGCGTTCCTCGCCCTCTGCGCCTCGTGCTCCGCCTGCAAAAGGTTAAAAATGACAGACAGATGCATTGAGTACAACACCATGCTACACCGCACTCAGCCGCACTACATTGAGTCTCCTGCCTCACGCTCGACTCCTCCTGCATCTTCACCAGCTCTGCGTCCCTCGCCCTCTGCGCCTCGTGCTCCGCCTGACAGAAGCAGACACATAGGGAAGCAGATGGGCAGACAGGGAAACGGACAGAGGGGGAGATGAGCATAGCAGAGCAGGAAGGATAGAGGCGTGGGAGCATCACTCCTGCATCTTCACTAGCATCACCCTCGTCCCTGCCACCTTAGAACCCGAAACCCTAACCCCTCCCTGGGGTCTCCCCCTCACCTGCATACGCTTGCGCGCGAGCTCGTCTTCGTACCGCGCGAGCTGCGCCTTGGTCTGCGCCTGCTGCGCCACCAGCTTCTGCTGCTCCTCGTACATCAGCTTCTGCCGCGCCGTCTCCTGCTGCTGCCCCCTCCACCTTCCGGCCCCTCCCCTACCACCCTGCCGCCTTACAACCCGCTCAATCCCTCCCTCGCTCCCTGCGACCACCCCCTCAGGCTCGTCCCTGCCACCTTAAAACCCCCGAAACCCTGAACCCTCCCCGCTTTCTCCCCTCACCTGCATCCTCTTCCGCGCGAGCTCGTCTTCGTACCGCGCGAGCTGCGCCTTGGTCTGCGCCTGCTGCGCCACCAGCTTCTGCTGCTCCTCGTACATCAGCTTCTGCCGCGCCGTCTCCTGCTGCTGCCTGTGAACCTCCAGCTCCGCGATCCGCGCCTTCTCTTCCGCTAGGCGCACATCCTCCTGTTTGCGCATTAGCTCAAACACCTGGGGGCAGAGAAGGAGGGAGGGAGGGGGGGGGGGGGGGGGGTTGGGTTGAGGATGAGGAGGGGATATAGATGGGAGCAGAGAGCAGCGCTCCTGCTGCATGCCTGTGAACCTCCAGCTCCACGATCCGCGCCTTCTCCTCCGCCAATCAAACATTCTCCTGCTTCCGCATCAGCTCGAACACCCGGGGGGGGGGAGGAGGGGTCTGGGGAAGGGGAGGGGGAAGAGGTGGGATGGGGAACGGAGGGGAAGAGGCGGGGGAAGAGTGGGAGGGAGAAAGTGGGTGGGGCGTAATCGGTGAAGGGGACGGAGAAGGAAAGGAGGGGGCGAAAGGGGAGAAGAGGCGGTGGTATAGACGACTCCTTTTTCTCATAAACCGTTCGGCCCCATACCTGCTTAGCACTAGAGGACTTGTTGATCTCCCTCAGAGCCTTAGCCCCGCGTTCCAAAGCCTCGGGATCGAATCCTGCCGCCGTCGTCCTTGGGTTGGGATTGTCATTCCTCTGTCGCTGCGTTCCCTCCCCCGCGGCCGTGCTTCCAGCCCCCGCAGTTGCGCCAGATCCGCCCGGCGGAAGGCCCCCGGGCGCAGGTCCCGGCGCGGGAAGATGATCCGCGGAGGTCTCTCCGCCGCCTCCGCCAGCTCCGCCACCTCCTCCGCGGATGCCCAACATGTTCCCCCAAAATGATCCCGCGGAAGCCACTGAGGCCAAGTTCTGTCGATCCGCCGGATCCGCGGAATCGTCGGATCTTGCGACGCGTGAATCTACGGCTGCGATTGCGGCAACGGAGGCGACGGATGCAGCGAGGACGGTCGCTGCTCCAGATCGACCGGAATTCGCGGCTGATGCGGCAGCCGCTGATTGGGCTAGCCGACGAATCGAACTTCTGATCGCCATGGCTGGCAGATCAGATCCGATCGGATTCGATCAGATTGGATCGGATCAGATGTACAGGAACTTGCTGAATGTCTAGTGGAAGCATGCAATGAGTAAGCGCCCCAGTTAGCGCTCTCGCTCTGGTCGCACGCGCGAACGAACGCGCGACTATCGCTACTTCCGCGATCCGGCAGCAAATAACCCGAGATCTGGTTTGCAGAACGGTTCTCAACTTCTGATTCCGTGCGATCCGGATGAAGTAACGACAACCGTACTGCTGATCAGATAGAACTGGTTCGCTCTAGACCATGACGGGAAAGAAGCTCTTGCAAATAAGGCCGTGTTACATTTTTCAAAATCACTGAAAGTCCGGACGGTGGTCCGAACGCGTGCGAAGATTGCGACGTCGCGCGGTCGCGTGGCGACCAATATGATGTCGTAAGTAAGCAAAACGAAACATGCGACGTCGTTTGGACCCTGACGAACTCACTGCTGATATTTAACGAGTTTTGTAACCACACAGTCGTTCGGACGGTGGCCTGTCCGGACAAAATTTTTAAAAAATGTAACACGCCCTAAGCATAAGCGGATGAGCAGACATGAGTTCAGACGAATCGCCAACAGAATGGGCCTTTGGGGTTTGCTACTGGAGGCACGGGTTTGCTCCTCGGGATTTGCTACCTGGGCCCAGAAAATAAGAAAAGGACAGTTAGCAACGAACGGCGAATAAACACTGGAGAAGTGTGTACCCTGGTCAGTACTGATACCGGAGAATTCACTAACGAGATAGAGATATTTCGCACAATTCATCGAAGGGGATCAATGAATGCGTGTTCACAAATGTCAGAGCTCTCCTTGGTTCGGGTGACGCTCACTGGACTGGTGACACCCTTCGGTTTGGAAGTTAGGGGTAGTGGTTTCTGTCGTTAATGTTCGCAACAGTGATGTCAAGTTTCCAAAATCGCTACGAGTCGCTGTCTCATCGGCGAAATGATGGGCAAAATTGTTGGGACCAGGCACGAATGCGTTTTTCTCACACCTGAATCTACTCTGGAAAGAAGTCGGGTCACTACTGACGAATATATCCTGGCCTTCTTTCGTGTGTCACAAGCAAGGTGTTTGAGTTGAGACGCCACGCGTTTGGAGTGATTCCAGCAGCGTTGGAATACGGATGATATCGGCGTGGCGACTGGAATACGCGCTTCAATAGAAGGTTCGATATGAAGTTGCAGCTCAGAGTCTACATCGAAGCTACTTGTATCACTTACAATGAACTCTTCATCTTGTTTACGATGGCGCTGGTATTGTATAGTCGTGATTCCAAACTCATTTAATTGCCCATTCGTACCTACTAATAATGAAGAGTACTATGAACTGAACGTTCGCGGTTCACTACTCAAAGCGACTGACAACAGGCCAACAGCGTAACCCTTCGTGGGCCACCGCCTGACACACAATTTCAAGGTGAACTTATCTCAGCCGTCGAATTTCACGTCCAACAATCTGTGACTCTGCTCCTCCTCCGACTTTTACTGCGCGCGACTCGTTCGTGTGCCGCCTAATCCACCACCAAAACCATCGCGGCGCGGCAGCCTCATGGAGCCAATTCACAACAGCAGGACGCATGCCATCATATTCGCATTGCACGGATTTCTCAGAGCAGGCAAAGCATGGGGATTTCTGGAATGGGAATGTATGAAACAGGGAAATTCCGATGAGTCCTCCTGCTCCCTCCCTCCCTCCCATCAGCAAAACCCAAAGGTCAGCTGGCTTCTTTGCCAGCCGTTAGATCATCCGCAAAACTTTGACTCAGAACCCGTAACATCGGATCGACAACTACGATTTCTCAATTGCAGGAAAGTGCCATTCCCAAGCAGAACTGGGGAAGGAGCTGCAGGAGAAAATCTAGTAATCTCCATGATAGTACGTCTCCGCTTGTAGGTCCACTCCCTCTACCATAAACATACCTCCACGGCACACTTCTTGGCACGTAGTGGACTAGTGCTCAGAGACTAGCGATCAGTAGGCCGTACGAGTAATGCGCGTAGCTTTGTAGCGTGCGGTCACGTAGGCGTCGACGACAATCTTCCCTCGTGTTTTAGTCTTCCTCGGCACGCCCTCTCATGCTCTTGCCAAACATTAGCACGACATGACCTGAACCCATCGCCAATCGTGCGCAGGTAAGTTTCGATTGACGTTAGATTTCCTCTCGATACTAGCGCTCTACCCATGATCCGCGCCGTCCCGTAGCATAGCGCAAGAACAGACTCTCGTAAAGCAAGGCTTTACCTCTCGGCACCCCTCACGACCCTCAGTAGTGAGTTCGCCATAATCCGTACCAGATCCGTCAGTGCGTCGTCTTGCAGGTCGACTTTTGAGTCAACTCAAAAGGTCTTTCACTTTCTGTGCACTCGGATTTTGCTGGAGCTTCCCTCAAAAGATCCTGAAAACAATTCCTAGATTAGCTCGTTTTCAGCTAGCCAGTGTGAGGGCGGCTATTAGGTCGTTTTCACCATGAGTTGCTACGTCAGAGCTTTCAAGAAATAAAATTTGAACGAGACCTGCCAAACTGCTTGCAGTCGTACAACCTAGTAGGAGAGCTACAAAGACCTCGTGTATGGTACGCAAGCAGATGACTGGACACGTACCAAGCCTAAAAGCCCGTCGAGCGCCTCGGGAAAGAGTGGTGACGTGTGGAGCAGTACGACAGTGAATAGTGGTGAACACTTTGAGATAGTTTTAGAGTCCACTCAAAAGTCATATCGTTGAAGAAGGGTCGATGTGTTGCCGGGGAGCTTACGAGGTGCCTTGCGATGGGGCAACGGAGACGGGCGATGGATGTGGGGCAAAGACCGCAACTGATTTGGCTAGTACTGCTGGTCGCAGCGTCGCAATGCGGTCTAAGAGCTCACGCCAAGAGCATCATGGGAGACGGTAGGTTTCTCTTTGAGATAAGTAGCCAATGCGGGGAACATAAATCACGGCACATGTGCCGCACCATCACAGTGGTAGGAGACGCCAGGGTTTCCATTAGTTCGTTTGTTCAATCAGGCTTTCTTCCACCGCCGCCAATGCAACGGAACGAGACTTACAGGGCCACTGGCACGAATGTGGCTGACGCATTCACGAAATCACCATCAGCTGAAGCATTCACTTCCTGAAATCCTGAATCAAATTGACTCCCCAGTCCCCCTCCCCGTTCCCCCCTTCTTCGTCGGCCTCTACTTCCCCACACCCCCACATTTGTCGACCAGCATGCGCGCTGCAGCTGTTGAATCTATTCGTGAATGACGCGTCGGCTCCGACGGACTGAAAGGGGACCTGCTAAACCGTTTTCTCCCCACGTCCGCACACCTCGTTTCCCCATTTCCAACTACCCTCCCCCTTGCTTAGCCACCGTGCCGGCACTGCAGCTGTTCAAGCTCTCCGCGGGCACCGCGAGCCACATTCTCAAACCCACGCTATGTTTTTGTTTAATCTGTTTTATTATTTCCCACTACCTTCCCTCTTGCTTAGCCACCGTGCCGGAACTGCAGCTGTTCAAGCTTTTTGCGGGGAACGCGTCGGCCCGGAGTTGTATATGTATAAATATACAAATAAATAAACTAAACTGGGTACCTTCTACTATCCTTCCAATCCCCTCCCAATAACCTCTAGTTCCCTTCCATAACAGCCTAATCTCCTGCCGTAACCCCTAATCCCCTTCCAGATACCTCACTCCTTCACCCTCCCTTTCCCCAACAAGCACTGCCGACGCTGACGCAATGAGATAGGCTGGGAGAATTACTGGACCCGGCCCTGGATGACACAGTGCCCCTGCACGAGTTCATGCAGGTACGGTTCAGAGCGGTTGGTGGTGGTGCACAGAGGCATGCGGGTATGCGAGTGGGTGCCGTGGATGTTGGTGCATGGCGGTGATGGTGGCCGTTGCTGCTGGGAGAGGCTGGGAGAGCTGCTGGACCCGCGCCTGGATGGCACAGTGCCCCTGCACGAGTTCATGCAGGTAGGAGGATGTGGTGCGGTGCGGTGCTGTGTGCTGTGGTGTGGTGTAGCTTGGTGGCAAGATGGTGTGGTGGTGTGGGATGTGGTGCTGCTGGACCCTCGCCTGGATGGCACGATGCCTCTGCACGAGTTCATGCAGGTAGGGTTGTGGTTGTGTGGTGTGGTGTGGTGGGTGGTGGTGTGGTGTAGCGTGGTGGGTGGTGGTGTGGTGTAGCGTGGTGGGTGGTGGTGTGGTGTAGCGTGGTGGGTGGTGGTGTTGCTGTTGTGAGCTGCTGGACCCTCGCCTGGACGGCACGGTGCCCCTGCACGAGTTCATGCAGGTACGGTTCAGAGCGGTTGGTGGTGGTGCACAGAGGCATGCGGGTAGGGTGGTGTACATGCATTGTGGTGCCTGTTACTCCTGGGAGAGGTTGGGAGAGCTGCTGGACCCGCGCCTGGATGGCATGGTGACTCTGCACGAGTTCATGCAGGTACGGTTCAGAGCGGTTGGTGGTTTGGCAGGATGGGTGCGTAGCGGCATGGAGGTCAGGTGGGGAAGGTATGAGTGCATGGTGGTGGGTGGTGCCTGCTGCTGAGAGAGGCTACTGGACCCTCGCCTGGATGGCACTGTGCCGCTCTGCACCATTCCCTTTCCCCCTTCCTCTCCCTGTACATCTCCCTTTTGCAGGCGGCATCTGTGGCAGCGGTGTGCCTGCAAGCGGACCCAGACTACCGGCCGCACATGGACGATGTGGTGCAGTCGCGCTCATGCCGCCACTCCTCAACACTCTCTTCCTTTTCTCCTTCCTTGGCCCCTGCCCCATGCCTCTTCACCAGGCGGCATCTGTGGCAGCGGTGTGCCTGCAAGCGGACCCTGACTACCAGCCGCACATGGACGATGTGGTGCAGTCGCGCTCATGCCACTCTGCAAGGCTGCGATCTCTCCCTAAGCCTCCCCTGCCCAGTCCAACCACTCTTCCCTGAGATGACACACCCCTGTCCTTTCTCACCACCATGACACACACACCAAGCATCTCTTCGCTCTGCAAGGCTGCGATCTCTCCTCACACCTCCCTCGCCCAGTCCAACCACACCCCTGTCCTTCCTCACACACCATGACACACACACTAAGCAAGCATCTCTTCGCTCTGCAAGGCTGTCTGCACGCCCTACGCCTCTCCAGCCCAGTCCAGTCCAACCACGCATCCCTTAGATGACACCCCACCCTTACCCCACTTACCCTCTTACTACCACTTATAGTCACCAAGCCTGAATCTGACTACCAAGACTGGTCGTTGTTCCCACCACCATCTCTGAAACAACTGATTACAGCAAGTGTATCAACGGATGTCTTCATCGTATACGAATGCATCAAGTAAGTCGATACATCAACGTAGCACAGTATGTAGGTAGGTTAGTCATAAGAGCTTGCTAGCCGAGCTAGGCTTTCAACTAGTTATTGCCAGCAGGGTTTATGATGCTGTAGGGGTGCAATAACGGGTATAAATAGTGGTGGGACGTGTTTTCGTTGGAAATGAAAGTATGCCCTGGTCTGTGTACACGATATGATAAGAACCATGCCCTGTTATCAAGGACTACACTCACAACAATGCATCAAGCACCATAAGAACAAAACCTTTGAACGGAATGGAGCCTCATGCGAACACCTCGGCCTTTTCACTTCTGGGTCGGATCGACTGGTACTAGGTCGTTTCCCTCCACGCACTCATGCTTGCTTCCCTCCTTCAGCTTGCTTCCCTACTTCAACTCGTAGGTGACTCTTGGGCTGACTCGAAAGCCATCTCTCCTTACAGCAGGGTCGGATCGACTGGTACTAGGTCGTTTCCCTCCACACACTCATGCTTGCTCCCCTCCTTTAGCTCATACCCGATATAGCAGTGGCACTCAAACTGTATAGTGCTGCTGCCACTGTTCGCTGGCACACAGGTTCCGTGACCAGAGCAGGGTGGGCTGCTGCTGCTTGCTCCACAATAGTTTTTACAAGCTGCCCAGCTCCGCTGTTGCTTTTCCGGGCAGCTAGCCGTTTTAGACAGGCAGTTTTGCACAGCTCTGAGAGTTTCGTCGTCCCCAAGCCCCTGACTCAGGCCAGACTCCTCTGGGCAGAGTTTCTGCCCGGAAATAGTGAGCATGGGGTTACCCCAGAAATAGTTATACTGGAAATCGAACACCATGTCCCCGTCACCCCTTCCCACCTGGGGCAGCTTCCCAGAAAAGAAATTCCCAGAGATGTTGAAATCAGTCAGGCGAAAGTTGCATAGCGCAGCAGCAGGAATTGAACCCACGAGCTTGTTGCTGCTGATATCCAATTGCCTCAATAAGCCCGCAACTCCCGCTTTTAATGCTCTCCAGGGAAATTCTCCGGTCAGCTGGTTGTTCTCGAGAGAAAGAACGCCCAGGGGTGGTTTGTACGCGAAAAACTTCCATGAAACGGAGCCGTTGAGCCTATTTCCTGCGAGAGATAGCCAGTAGAGATTTGGAATCCTGCCCAGGACGTGTGGCAGGTTGCCCGAAATCTTGTTAGAGCTCAGATTTATTAGATATAGGTTTTGATGCCTCCACAGCTGAGCGATCGACTTAGTCGTGTCTGTAATCCCCGTTTGCCGCATACTCAGCCACTCAAGCCGCGACAACCTGTTGATTAGCTTGTAAGGGAAGGCACCACCGATGGGATTATATGAGAGGTCGAGATTCTTGAGAGACGGGGCGAGAGCGGCTAGGGCTCCAGGTAACGGGCCTATTAATCGGTTCTCCTGCAGACTCAACTCCTCTAGGCGACTCAGTCCCGACAGCTGGCGCGGCACGGCTCCCGTTAAGCGGTTATGCGCGAGGTGGAGCGTTTTTAAGTTCCAGAGGGTGCCCAACGCGGGGGGAATCGGGCCGGAGAGCTGGTTTACGTTAAGTGAGAGGTAAGTAAGACGCTTAAGCCTGCTAAGCGCGTGTGGGATGCCTTGGGAGAATCTATGGCCGAGAAGATCGAGCGACACGAGATTGGTCAGGGAAGAGAGGGAGCGTGGGATGCGGCCGCTGCAGCCGCCCGTGCTGCTTCTGATGCTGACGGTGGTGAGGGTCAGAAGCGCGCCGAGCGATACCGGCAGTGAGCCTGTGATATTCATCCCGGAGATTTCTAGGTGTTGGAGGGAGTTGAGAGCGGTGATGGTGGACGGAATCGGGCCCGTTTCCCAAAAGTTCAGCTCGATTTTTACGACCCCGCCTTGGGGGTTACACCTGACGCCTTCCCATTGGCTGCAGTCGTTTCCCGTGCGCCACGTGTCCTTGTAATAGTAGCTGTCAAGATAAGGCATCAAGGAGAGGAGGAAGTTCGCCTGAGCGGGCTTGATTCTTGCGGCGCGGCTCGGGGTGCACAAGAGGAGGATAGCCAGAGAAATGAATGGTATTATCGTGGATGTGAGCGGGGTTGATCCCCTCGGAGGTTTGCTGGGACTGGACGCCATCGATGCTTCTGAAAGTAGAGAATGGCTATTTCTAGCTGCCAGCTAGAAGCAGTGATTCAAAGCTCGAAAACAGTCAGTCACGAAGCAGGGGTGGAAGTGTGCTGCTGAATTCTTCTCCGCTGATAATGATGTTCCGGTGGAGGGAAGGTGATCCATTCTTATAGCAAGCACACGAGGCGGGTGCTAACTGGACAATCATTGTCGCTAACGATGATCGCGATACGGACACAGCGGCAGTTCCTTCCTTGCAACCACCATTGGCTGTCCTTGGCGGCATTTCCCTTTCCCAACGTAACGCGCCTGCTAAGCGGCGGGAGCCGCGCGAGCGAATCGCGCCAGCAAGCCATGGATGAGGTGTTGTGATGCCCTGGGCTCGAAAGAAACAACAGCAAGAAAGCTCAGCTGCTGCAGCAGCAGCAGCAGCAGCACCAAGAAGGAAGGATGAGTTATCGCTGGCATGGAAGTGACAAGTGTCAAATAGAGAGCGATGATTTTCTACGGTCCGTTCGAATTTCTCGACCCCTCGTCCCTCCTGAGGGGGTTTCAATTCAAACAAAGGCTTGATTGGCTACATTGTGATGCACCGATGTAAATGCACAGCAGCCTGTTTGGCAAAATGAACTGAAAACTGGTTTGTTTTCTTTCAGCGACTTCTTATTCCGCATAGTAATCCTGTCCAAATGTAGCAGAGTGCGGCTCGATTTCTCAGCGCTGGTGAAATGCGGCTTGACTGTTGCATTGCACGACAATGAGCTTCGTCGAACCGCACAGCAGCACATTGTGCGCTTTGTGGAGAGCGAAGGAGCACATCCATGGTTTCAGACGACTGCGGCGACAGATGCGAAATTGCCGATTGGACGGTGGCAGTAGCTGTTCAACCAGATGAGGTATTCGTACAAAGCCTCGATTGGCTGACAGGTGTCGTAAACCAATTACATCTCACACCTCGAGCGGACCTTCCTCCTGACAATTGACTGAACTTGAATCGCAATATTGCACAGGTTTTGTACACGTCCCCAAAGAGTTTTCTTCATACAATTTGTATTCCAACATCAAACATTTGAGTCCAAACACAAGAATGGGCAAGGAAAATTAACCATTTATATAAGAACGTAAAAAAAAACACTTCATTTCTGGCCTTCGGTAACTGTTCAGTCCACTATTGTAACTACAGTTTGAAATATGGAACGCACAACACTTTCAAGTTCCAGCAAATGAGAATGACATCCAGCAAGTGCCAATGGTTGTGTGGAACAAGGTGCGTTTGTTGGGGCGTGGAACGGCCGACTGGTAGCAAGCAAGCATACACAACCATAGATCGAGCGTAACAAGCCAACCTTTCAGATTGAGGCCCTGGGGGAGTAAGTGTACCGTGGGGTGTCACAAGCTCCTTTCCACCTTTCTAGAATCCCATTGAGGGTCCTCACCATTACCACCGCTTTCTTCCATTCTCCTCATGGCTCACACAAGCTGCCAGGTTTGCCCACATCCCATTGAGGCGTCAGCCCCTGAAGGCTCACAATCTTTCAGCAACTTCAACTCCCACCCAGGTTTTCTGAGGTCGCCTGTGGCCCCACTTTGGCTTATTCAGCTAAGCTTGAGTATTGTTTTGCATGCTTCGCCTTGACACCTGCCACTGTTTATCAGCAGAGTTGAAAGGGAGAGGGAGTGCTACTGTCAGGGACACACTTGCATTCCATGGACAGGGAGTGCTTTAAGGGACACTCTTACATCAGCCATCCCTCTCACACTCATGCTTGCTTCCTGCCTTCAGCTTGTACCCCTTATAGCAGCGACACTCAAACTTTACAGAGCTGCCAGCACTATTTGCTGGCACACAGATTCCGTAACCTGAGCAGGGTGGGCTGCTGCTGCTTGCTCCGCAAAAATTCTCACAATCTGCCCGGCTCCGCTGCTGTTTTTCAGGGCAGCTAGCCGTTTTCGACAGGCAGTTTTGCACAGCTAGCAGAATCTCGTCGTCCCCGAACCCCTGCCTCAGCCCAGACTCCTCCGGACAGAGTTTCTGTCCGGAAATCGTAAGCATCGGGTCACCCCAGAAGTAGTTATACTGGAGATCAAACATCATGTCCCCATCACCCTTCCCCAGCTTGGGCAGCTGCCCTGAAAAGTAATTCTCCGATATGTTGAAATCCGTCAGGGGAATGTTGGAAAGTGCAGCGGCAGGAATTGAACCCACGAACGAGTTGCTGGCAATGTCCAGATGCTCCAGAGTCCCCGCAACTCCCGCTTTCACAGCAGCCCACGGAAATTCTCCAGTCAGCTGGTTGTACGAGAGAGAAAGATCGGTCAGGGGCGGTTTGCACGCGAAAAATTTCCACGAAACAGAGCCGTTGAGCCGGTTCTTCCTGAGGTAAAGCTTGTTCAGATTTTTTATCCTGCCCAGGATGGGGGGCAAGTTTCCTGAAAACTTGTTCGAGCTCAAATCGATGGAACGAAGGCTCGGGTGTCGCCACAGCTGACCCAGCGACAGAGTCGAGTCTTTAATTCCCGCTTGCTGCATATTCAATCCCTCGAGCCGCGACAGCCTGTTGATTAACTTGTAAGGGAAGGCGCCGCCAATGGGATTGTACGAAAGGTCGAGGACCTTAAGAGACTGAGCGAGAGCGGTCAGCTTGCCAGGTAGCGGGCCTACTAAGCGGTTCTCTTGCAGATTTAACTCCTCGAGGAGCTTCAATTCCGACAGCTGGCGCGGCACGGCTCCCGTTAAGCGATTATGCGCGAGGAGAAGCGTCTTTAAGTTCAGAAGGGACCCGAGCGAGGCGGGAATCGGCCCGGTGAGCTGGTTTAGGGCAAGCGAGAGGTAAGTAAGACGCTTAAGGCTGCTAAGCGCGGGCGGGATGCCTCCCGAAAACCTATGGCCGAAGAGGTCGAGCGACACGAGGTTGGTGAGGGAAGGGAAGGAGCGTGGAATGCGGCCGCTGCATCCCCCGGTTGTGCTGCTGATTCTGATGTTCGTGAGAGTCACAAGCGCGCCGATTGATTCCGGAAGGGAGCCAGTGAGGTTCATCCCGGAAATTTCGAGGTGTTGGAGGGAGTTGAGAATGGTGATGGTCGACGGAATGGGGCCCGTTTCCCAGAGGTTGAGCTCGATCCTCACGACCGCACCTTGCGGGGTGCATTTGACGCCTTCCCATTTGCTGCAGTCCGTCCCCGCGCGCCACGTCTCGTTATAGATGTACTCGTTAAGGTATGGCATTAAGGAGAGCAGAAACTTCTCCTGAGCTGGCTTGATTTTTGCGGCGTGGCCCGGGGTGCACAGAAGGCTTATAGTGAGACTGATGAGGATGACTAACGGGCACGCGAGTGAGGCTGAGCCCTTCTTAATGCATCTACTAAGACGGGGCGCCATCGGCGGCGCTTCTGGAAATGGGCGTCACAGCACTACGAGTACTAGCTAACAGGTATTTTGAGATCAGTCGGTCACCAAGTCAGTCCCTTCTCTAATCCGTGCGTCCGTACTACGGACTAGTAGTCTGTGAGAGGACGATGGTAAATGTTGCCAATGTTTCGGTTGCCTCGTTAATTCACTTATTTCATCCAGCTCCAGTGTCGTTGTGATGGACAGCCTTGAGGCAGCAACAGTTGCTTCATTGCCACCATCAATCGCTGTCGTTGGCGGCAATTCCATTCGCCAGCAGCACGTGCCTTCTGAGCAGCGGGAGCCGCGCGATTGTATCAGCCCAACGGGGTACGGATGGTGCGGTGTGATGTCACCAAGGCTCAATCGAAGCATCACATCACAGCAGGAGCTAACATCCAGCACAGCGGCATGCTATGACTGAGGGAGGAATAAAACATCTATCACTTGCGTGGAGGCGACGAGTTTCATTGGGGATGGAAGTGTATTTCTTCGCATCAATATTTCAATCCAAGGTCTGCTCACAGTTTTCCATCCATCGTTCCTGAGGTCCGAGTTGGAATCAAAGCAATCTAGGTTGCAAAACGCAAACTGGTGCGCATACATGTTTCTTGAATTCCGAGTTCCCGAGACTCAGATTCAGCACGAATATGCTAAGCTGTAGCATGTGTGCTGGTTTGGAGTCTCGGGTGTCAGGGGCATTTTGGGAAACCGCAAACATCTGAAATGACCTGGAAGAACAAGACGTACATATCGACATTTTCCGGCAGGTAAAATGCGGCTCGAATGCTGCACGACACTTGGCTTCGCCGAACCGCACAGGTCCACAATGTCTAGATTGTGGAGGCTGACGCGACGAGCCACATTCGCGGTTCCATGCGACTGCGGCCGATTGGACGGTGGCGCCTTGGCAGTAACTGTACACCAGCTGAGCTGTCTCGCATCTAACGAGATTGGCTGACACCTGTCGTCACATGAGCACACACCGCAACTCGGGGCAGCTTCCTGACATTTGACTCGTGTCGAATCCAAACTCGCTTTCTGTCTCTCCGTCTTAGGAAACTGCAATTCTAACAGAACACCTCCGATTAGAATAAGATATCTACGACTGAAATAAGACACCTCCGAGCAATCAGGTGATGCAATATAATGTGGACTTATTAGAATGTTTATGTAGTAGCAAATCTTAGGCAGTTCAAGCCTATTTTGTGTATGGTAGCAGCATCAATATCCGCTTTAATTGTCAAGGAAAGAATCTGCTCCCTATTGGCTCCTACTACAACATCCGTTCAAGCCCGACAGTGCAAGAGGAGAAACAGAGGTTGGTAGCATGAGGGGCGACACAGGATCAGGTCGTGTTGCTGATGTAGGGAGAGGAGATGTGCAAGAGGGGTTAGAAAGGCCATGGCCCGGTGCAGTGGTAGATGGAAGCAATATCCAAGAAGGGGTTGAGGTAGAATGACTAGGCCATGAGGCAGTGGGTCGGGGTAGGGGGGGCGTGTCAGGAGGGGGGCGGGGGAGAGTGAAGAACGCAGCAGCTGCTGCAGCAGCAGCGAAGGCAGCGGCCGCCATGAAGCCAGGAATGTTGCCCCCGCCGAAAAATGCATCGAAGGGACCAATGACCAAGGATACAAACATCTGCAAGGGTGGCAAAGAGGGGCGCGAGGGCAGCATAGGAGGATAGACAGGGTCGGGCAAGGAAGGGGCAGAAGGAGAGTTGGAAGAAGTGACAGACGCAGCTGCAGCAGCGGCAAAGTCAGCAGGTGGCATGAAGCCAGGAATGTTGCCCCCGCCGAAAAATGCATCGAAGGGACCAATGACCAATGATACAAACATCTGCAAGGGTGGCAAAGAGGGGCGCGAGGGCAGCATAGGAGGATAGACAGGGTCGGGCAGGGAAGGGGCAGAAGGAGAGTTGGAAGAAGTGACAGACGCAGCTGCAGCAGCGGCAAAGTCAGCAGGTGGCATGAAGCCAGGAATCTAGTTTTGAGGCGCCTCAAAGTCAGCAGGTGCCATCAAGCCAGGAATGTTCCCCCACCGAAGAATGCATCAAAGGGACTGATGACCAGTGACACAAACATCTGAGGGGGTGGTGCAGAGCGGTGTAGGGGCATGGAAGAGAGGGGGTGTCAGTAGCGGTTTGGATTGCGAGAAGTGGCAGCAGTGAAGGCAGTGGGTGCCATGAAGCTTCATGAATGTCTGGAATGTTGCCCCCGCCAAAGACTGCATCCAAGGGGCGATGGCTAATGACACAGACATCTGAGAGCGAGTGGAACAGAGGGGCAGACGTAGTCGAGCAGGGTCGGACAGGGGCAGGCAGGGAGGGAGATGGCAGAAGGGTGATTTGAGGTGCCTAAAGAATCACCTCAATGCGAGTGGCACAGAGGCGCAGACACAGTCTAGCAGGGTCGGACAGGGGCAGGCAGGGAGGGAGATGGCAGAAGGGTGATTTGAGGTGCCTAAAGAATCACCTCAATGCGAGTGGCACAGAGGCGCAGACACAGTCTAGCAGGGTCGGACAGGGGCAGGCAGGGAGGGAGATGGCAGAAGGGTGATTTGAGGTGCCTAAAGAATCACCTCAATGCGAGTGGCACAGAGGCGCAGACACAGTCTAGCAGGGTCGGACAGGGGCAGGCAGGGAGGGAGATGGCAGAAGGGTGATTTGAGGTGCCTAAAGAATCACCTCAATGCGAGTGGCACAGAGGCGCAGACACAGTCTAGCAGGGTCGGACAGGGGCAGGCAGGGAGGGAGATGGCAGAAGGGTGATTTGAGGTGCCTAAAGAATCACCTCAATGCGAGTGGCACAGAGGCGCAGACACAGTCTAGCAGGGTCGGACAGGGGCAGGCAGGGAGGGAGATGGCAGAAGGGTGATTTGAGGTGCCTAAAGAATCACCTCAATGCGAGTGGCACAGAGGCGCAGACACAGTCTAGCAGGGTCGGACAGGGGCAGGCAGGGAGGGAGATGGCAGAAGGGTGATTTGACGTGCCTAAAGAATCACCTCAATGCGAGTGGCACAGAGGCGCAGACACAGTCTAGCAGGGTCGGACAGGGGCAGGCAGGGAGGGAGATGGCAGAAGGGTGATTTGACGTGCCTAAAGAATCACCTCAATGCGAGTGGCACAGAGGCGCAGACACAGTCTAGCAGGGTCGGACAGGGGCAGGCAGGGAGGGAGATGGCAGAAGGGAATTTTAGAAGGGGGGGATTAAAAGCTACTGACAGACCAATCGCCATGGTTATCAAGCACAGAGTGGAAACTTGGGCACTCACCTGAGGCACAATGTGACCACCTGGGGATTCACCTGAGGAGCTCTAATTACTCTTCAAATTTCACCTGAGGAAGGACTACGGCGATGTTGAGCAGACCAGCTGCCAACAGCAGGGACCTAATAACACCTGGATATTCACCTGGGGGAGGACTATGGCGATGTTGAGCAGACCAGCTGCCAGGCCCTGCCCCCCGCCCCCTCTGGTGGTGAAGGACGCCGTGAGGGAGAAGGGGAGGCTGTAGGTCACCTGTAGGGATGGGACATGGGGCATGGTGGGTGGAGGGTGGTAGGTGGTGGGTTTATTGGTGGCGGATGGTGGGTGGGAGGTGGCAATCCAGTGACAATGCCGCTTTGACAATGGGCAGGCCAAGCCCTGCCCTCCGCCCCCTCTGGTGGTGAAGGACGCCGTGCGGGAGTAGGAGAGGCTGTAGGTCACCCGAGGAGATGGATGGGGCATGGCGGGTGTGGGATGGTAGGTGGGGAATGGGGCATGGCGGGTGTGGGATGGTGGGTGGGGAATGGGGCATGGCGGGTGTGGGATGGTGGGTGGGGAATGGGGCATGGCGGGTGTGGGATGGTGGGTGGGGAATGGGGCATGGCGGGTGTGGGATGGTGGGTGGGGAATGGGGCATGGCGTGTGTGGGATGGTGGGTGGGGAATGGGGCATGGCGGGTGTGGGATGGTGGGTGGGGAATGGGGCATGGCGGGTGTGGGATGGTGGGTGGGGAATGGGGCACGGTGGATTGTGGGTGGTGGACGACGCGTGGGAAATCAAGTGCCCTGCCGTGTGCACTTGTGTCAACACAACAATCATAGCGGGTCACACAGCAGGCCCTGCCCTCCGCCTTGCTGTGAGGGAGAATGGGAGGCTGTGGTGGGTTACGTGGGAGTGCCGAGAACACTGCAAAGATGGTGAGCGCAGCTGCCTTGGCCACTCACGTGCATGACAACACTGACGCAGCTTCATAGCTTCACTACGTGGTCCCACTCACCGCCATAGGAGCACCGAGAACTGCAAAGATGGTGAGCGCAGCTGCCTTGGCCACTCTTGATTTCGACATGCCTAACACGCTTGAAATCGGCAGCAGTAGCACAGATTGCTGGTGCGACACTGGAGGCTGTGGCTCTAGCATCCCGAGTTTCCGTGCGCCTATCAGTTTCCGAAGCCCAGCAGTGGCCAGTCCGTTTTGAGGCAGTGAGCAGCAGACGCTGCTGCTGCTGGCGTTTGGCCGGTTGACATGAGGCGCGACAGGAGCAGCAGACGGCACAGCAGCAGTGGTCACCAACACGCTTTGAGGCAACCAGTCTTGAGCAGCAACCCCTTCTGCAGGAGCAGCAGACGGCACAGCAGCAGTGGCTAGCCGGGTTTGAGGCACAACAGGAGCAGCAGACGGCACAGCAGCAGTGGCCAGCAGGCAAACAGCAAGCATCAGATTCCCCACAGCCCACACGGTCCTCGACCCGAACCTCCGGCACAGAGCATCGATCCTGAGGCTCGTCACTCCCTGCACCACCGAGTTCAGCACCAGACCTAGCGCTCCGAACCTCACCCCCCTGCTGTACGCCTTAAGGGCCGCCTCGCTACTAGCACTAGCCACTCCGCTGACTGCAAAACTAGCTGCGTTACCAGCTGCTCTCGAAGCAGCAGATGCACCTGCTGCTGTACCAGCAGCAGCAGCTTCAGCTGCTGCTGTGGCTGCTGCACTAGCCGCTGCTAGTGC